GGTGACGCTGCACTGGTGGGTTCAGCTGTCACCGCAGCCTTGTGCTGATGGTGGGATATGGGAAGCTGCTGCACAGGGCACCTGGGTGGTTAAAAAGCAGCTGACATGCGACTCGGTTTTTCTTTACCATGCGTGGGCCAAGCTGCCTTGTCGAGGCACTCGGTGGGATTTGGAGGGCTGTGCGCCCCGCTGGCGCCGCACTGAGTCAGTGAATGCGAGCAAGGGCGTGTGGGAGCGCCCTGTGCCAAGCGTGTCGGGATCCTTCTGGGTGAAAAAGGCTCCGTGCCTCTAAAATATTAATTATCTGCCAGAGGAGAGTGAAATTTATGTATTGTGGCTGGCGGGCACCCTGGGACTGCTGGTCCCCCTTCCCCACCCTCTTCAAAGGATGCTCATTTCATTGGGGTGCTGGGATCCTCCGAGCAGCCTCCCTGTGGAAGCACCCATGGGACTGGGAGGGCTTTTCTGGGGGGTGGTTGGCTCAGCATCCGCTGCCCCAGGCTGGCTGGGAAGATCTGTGGGTGAGTGTCCTGCCTTTGAGGGGTCGGCCGGGGGTGGTTGCCCACGCTTGGCCACTCTGCGCTTTCCCCAGCTGCACATTGTCCACATGAATGTCAAGTACAGGACATTGGCAGAGGCCAAGGGACATCCCAAGGGACTGGCTGTCCTCGGCTTCTTCATCCAGGTGGGTCTGTGGGGGCTCACGCTGTTGGTGGGATGGGACCCCTGGGAACAGGCTGCTGGGAGGGCATTGTACAGCTCCCAAGGGAGCGAGAAGGGGCAGGAAGGCTGGGTCACGGCCAGGAGGTGCTGAGGAACCTCAGTGGCAAAAGGTGCCATGACCCCGCTGCTGTCTTCATGCAAGGGGGTGCCGGCTGGGAGCCCACCCATCCCCACAGCAGTTCTGTGGCGATGCAGGACCAGGGCTGGCTCTGCCTGTGGCTGCTTGGTGCTAAAGGATGACCCGGCTCTGCTCTGTACTAGCCACTTACTCTCTCCTTCCGCAGGTCTCCGAAACTCCTAACGCCAACTACAACACCATCGTGGCGGGGCTGAGGAACATCTCCCACGCTGGTGAGTCACCTCCTCATCAGGGCAGGGGTGGAAAGGGGAGAGACCCCTGTGCAGGAGGGCAGGGGTACGCCCCGGCAGGTTCAGTACAGG